TTAGAGGTTGAAAAAGTTTTTTCCGGACATTAAAAAAAAGGGTCGAAAAAATAAACCAGTTAAATTAAGGGTCAAAAAATTTTTCCGTACAAATTCCTGTTAAAAACATGCGTGAAATCCTTATTTTTGAACCAATATCTGTAAAATTGAGGTCTATAAATTCTATTCAATTCCCTCTGGAAGCCTTGGAAGTTACTTAATAACTCCACATAATTCTATCATTTAAAATCTTTGATTGCCCTGCCAATCCAGATGATTCGCCCTGCCAATCCAGATGATTCATACTTGGGGGGGGGGGGGGGGGTCACACACCCTCAAGTTTCGCCCCTGTTTACAGATACAGACAATCCAACAACACAGAAGAAAATTATTTGGGAACAAAAAATTAAATGGTTGAACAGTGCAAGGCTTGACAGTGTGTTTCCTGAAATTGTTGCAAACAAAGTCTTTTTAATTAAATTTAGGTTCCATACCCGAGTTGCATGACACAATGTTCTTAAGCCTTCCATGGTAACTTTTGCATAGAAAAATTGAAATTTTAATCTGAGTTCATCAATTCTGTTTCAATCAGAACGATATGCTTCATTTTAAAAGTCATAAATATCCTTATATCCCTAATATATCTTATTTAGTAGTTTTACTGCCAAATCTGAGGGAAAGGCATAAAAAACTTTAATTTGTATAATACCTCTGAGTTTTGGCAGCTGTTTCTGAACTCATTAATCAAAATCATGTGGCAACTGCAATATTGTCGATCGTTCAAAGGTTCTGAGTTTAATTACAATTCCCTTCTGACAATATGATATGCCACTTATATATGCTAATGTTATTTTAGCGGCAACACGTATATTAATATTTTATCGTGTTTTGCTTTTATTTGATAGCAAATGCTTGAAAGCATCCTGAAAATACACGTCAGAAGAATTGTACTAAAAACTTCATAAAGTAAAATGTACTAAAAACGTCAGTCGTATATGAATAATGCACGGTTAAAACCACTTCTATGCATATGATATATGCTAACTTTCTTTACCTAACGCAGGTGCAACATATCACACTACTTTGCTTAATGATCAATATAAACCAATAGGAAGACAGTAGGTCAATGACAGAAACAAATCTTAGTAGAGGCATACAACAAAACATGAATTGCTCACTGGACAGTTGGACTGACTGGAGTGGCCTTGATTTGCCGTACTTTTCATTTTTCACTTTTTTCATCAGTCATGAGAAACTAATCGTTTCTGCAGCTAATATACCCTGCTTGTCAAGTTACTGTGATTCTTAGTAAGTTAAAGCTATTTTGATTTTCTAGTTGTTGTTTGAGTAACTCAGTCTGAAGCATTTTAATTAAGCATGACAATGACTGAACTGAAGTAAAACTTAAGCACATTCAATTCGTAGCACGATTTTAAATCATCCGGTTTTGATTCTTATTCAACGACGATTTGTTGAAAACGCTTAAGGTATAAAGAGATTTTTTTGGAGATTATATAGTTTTCATTATATACCTGTATTTGAAGATGAATCAATTCAATTTTAACATTTTTATTTATACTTAGAAACAATTGTAATTTTCCGGAAAAGCAGGTCATCTTTGGTCATTGAAAATTTGATTCATAGCTCTATCTCCTTTGACTTCACACGAAAGAAGCTTTTATTCCTAATTTTGTGTCCATGCAGCTAGTGTCCGCCAGTTTATTTCAAGCCCGTTCTTTAGCCGTACAAATGAACAGTTAATTCAAAGTTCCAGGGACCGCGGAGACGGGGGGGCTGGGGGGGCTTTAGCCCCCCCACTTTTTTTGACAGCCAAAATTATTAAAATAGAAATCTAAATGAAACTTTCTAAATTAATTAAACCTTTTCTAGGCATTTTTAACTTTCGCATCTAATTAAAATGAATAAAGGCTAAGCACCCCATTATGTGTACCTTACATCAAAAAGGTCTAAATTTTGTTACTTTTTATGACGATGGTCTTGGAGATTTTTTGCTAAAGTTCCTCCAAAAATGCAGGAAATAGCGTTTAAGGTAATAGAAAATTGAACATTTTCCTTGGGGGTTTTATTGATGATTTAGCCCCCCCCCCCACTCTCTAATACGCTCCGCGGGCCCTGAGTTCTAGTTTACACCACGGTTTGGTAATCGAGTTCAATTCATTCCAAATGTCCAGTCCATTCCAATGACTAAAATCTATATCTTCAATCTTATCATGTCCATGCAGGAACTGGCCCCTGACACTGTATCGGCATAACCAACTAATAAACAGGTTAATTCTAACTTTCCACTAAAGGCTAATTCTGCAGTTCAACTTGTGCCAGTCATTACAGTAATTCCACTCCACGATCCAGTCCAATTCAGCTTATTATTCATTCTAGTTCAATTGCCAGTCCAGTCTTTGCTTAGTAACACCTCTCTCATAAAGAGATAAGTCAGACGCAATATTATCACTGATTTGTCAACGAATTGTCAGCTTTTATAATATAAAAAACGTTATCGTCGTTAGATTGATCCACTTCTATTACAGTAACACACAAATTGTCAAGTGCAATGCCATTGCTTATCGAAGCAATCAGGCAAAATAGATGCAAAAAGATTCTACTTGCTTTACAGTTACGCTGGGATCTTAATGAGAGGGATCCAGAGCAATTGAGAACACCTTTAATAGAATTAACATTTCTTGAAAAAGAAGCTATAGCGGCACGTTTGTGTAAACGTTTTCTACTCGCCGGTGCAAGACCGGATCTGAAAGATATAAGTGGAAGGAATGCGCTTCATTGGGCTTGCGTAAAAGGTCGAGAGAAACTTGTAGAGATTTTAGTAAATAACTGGGAAGAATATGATATAAATGCACAAGATTATCAGGGCAACACGGCTCTTTCTTTGGCTGTGATATCAAGCAATGAAAATATTGTAAGAAAATTGATTACATTTCTGATTCGGTACAGATTGAGCGTGGATGTGCTCAATAATAATGGAGAAACTCCTTTGATTCTCGCCAGTAAATCTCGGAGTTATTTTCTTTGCGAGGTACTTACAAAGGTTGGTCGAGCATCAACAGAAATGAGAGACAAGACAAAACAACTTAATGCTAAAGAATGGGAATCCTTGACAGAACCAGTCAAACTACCTGTCAGCGCAAGAAGTAATAGAAATATTAACCCAGAAGCACGAGAGCGTTTCCCAAAAAAGATGTCAAGACATCCACAGTCAGTAGGAAGTAACTGCAAAAGTGAAATTCGTAGAATATTCGGTCTATATTACAGTGAACTGAGCTCATCATTTCGCCAACCTGCCATTCCACCGCCCAAAGAAGAAAAAAGTGATTTTTCAGATTTACCAACTTGTTACGAAAATGAAGATGATTATTCAGAATTTTCAGTTGGGGATTTAGCGATTTGTCCTGTGACAACAAAAAGTAGTAGAAAACGGCTTTCAATCTCTAAGGTGGCTCAAGTTCCGATAACTATTAACAGGATGCGCAAAACTAAGAAGACAGAAGTAGAGAGAGGTCAAAATTCATGGGCGGGCAGACAAGAACAGGGCAGATTAAATTCAAGAAGATCAATTATACCTAAATTAGAAGTTAATACAATTGTTCCAGTTGTGAAAAGAAACTCATGTCCCATTTTACGACGCAGACGGACAATAAATAGCAAAGATGAAACGGCAACGTTTAGACTAGAATCTTTGAGTGAAGATATTGAACAAGAATAATTAACTAGAAGCGGGGTAGGAGAGATGGTAATATGCAATCCCCTTCGGGGCAGAAATATATTATGTAGTTTTTACTGTCATTAAACATTTAAATTGGAAAGAAATTTGAAATACTAGTAATCTGATGCTGGAAATCTCAATTCTCAACTAGTTTTACTCAGCTTTGATGTTACTTTTCCGAGATTTATTTATTCCAAAATAGATCTCCATTATATTTTTTATTTTATTAAACTTTGCCTAGTACATACAAATACGTTTCTACTAGTAACTTATTAAAAAACATGGAGACTGACACAAACAATACAGGAACAAACAAAGATATAAGAGGCTGGCCAACCACAGCAGCAAAGCCAATTACTGTGGACCCTAATTATTTCCCTGTTATTTCCATGATTGTGGAAGTCACTGTATACCCCCTCCAAACCTCCTTAAACTGATGGGACCTTAGTTTGCATGAGCATTCCAAACCGTGCGAGATTTTAATTCTGGCATGATATCAATTTCTGTCTCTGGTGGCTACTGTGGCTCTACATCACCTATGACAGTCTCTAGAATATCCACGATAAAGTACTGACTTGTCGTTTTTTGGCTGTTGGTTGTTCCCAAATATCATTTGTAGATATGCAAGAGATTTCTGGGCTGAAAACTGGATTGTCTATTTCAACATCTTTCTTGATCTCTGCTTGCTCTGTCGGTGCTGTCGCCGGGTCCCACTGCAACAGGCTAAGAAAAAATAGCTTAAAGTTAAACAAATTAGCAGCTGCTGTGCATGTAACAATATTTAAAAACTCATTCAGTAATTCATGAGGAAATTAAAAGACAAAGAATTACTACCGTATCGGGGTTTTATATGTGATAAAACAAATCATGTTCATTTACATAAACTTTAGCTTTGATTTTCTCGGCTTAGACAATGTTTAGTTTCATTTAAAATTATTTCGCCAATGAACTCATAAAATGGGTCGTTTTTACAGTCGTGCCAATAGAAGCGTTCCGAAAAATGTTGATCAATTCATTAATTTCCTAACTTGAAGGAACACCTCTGAACAATTCCTCAACAATTTGATAAGTTCCTTAAAAAGTTCTTAACTTCCTGTTTCATTGACCAATCAGATTGCTCAAAAATGAAATATAAAATTTGATTGGTCAATGAAAAGGAAGTTAGGAACTTTTTAAGGAACTTAGGGGCCATTCACAAAGGATGTCCGAGCCGAGGGGGGGGGGGGGGTTTGGAAAATCAGGACAAACTCGGACATAGGGGGGGAGGGGGGGTTTTTAGCAATCCGGATGTCCGAAATTTAAAAAAATTCAAAAACAAATTTCTTTTTCCCTCTATTTTGAGCAGTCCTTCCCTTTGTGAAATTGGCATTTTGACTATGCGGTTAACACTAGATTTTGTTTTAATTAGTAATTTATATGTTTTTGTGTTCACAGTTACAGTTATAAAAAGTTCTAAAAGTAAAAAAGTTTTTTACTCTTGATATATACAAGGTTGCGTGAGTTTTTGCGAGGCATGGCGGATGTCCGGGGGGAGGGGGGGTCACTAATTCGGACAATGCCGGACAAGGGGGGGGAGGGGGGGTCTGAAAATCCATCATTTGGCCGGACATCCTTTGTGAATGGCCCCTTATCAAATTGTTGAGGAATTGTTCAGAGGTGTTCCTTCAAGTTAGGAAATGAATTGGTCAACATTTTTCGGAACGCTTCTATTGGCACGACTGTAAGCCATTTAAAACACTCACAGTCAGTGCTTTATCAGATATAAAAACACTTCAGCTGCACTCTGGTGTTTTATATCTGATAAAGCAATCCTGCTCGTGTTTTCAATATTACGTACTAGTTCAGTCCCTATCTTGATTATCAATGATAACATTAACATAAGAAGAGATGTAAGAATGTGCAGTGAAGCATTTTGGGGATAAATTCTTAACAGACTCATTGAAAGTTTGAAAGTTCATTTAAGCCCCAGTTACATGACGATACCGGATTCGCATCGGAGCGAGTCGAGCAACATCAACTAAAGGCTAATTTCCACTCAGGAAAATTATCCGTGGATTGGAACGGACAAGAAACTATTTATTTGTGTTAAAGTCATTAGTTCCAACCCAGAGCTCACAAGACAAAGAAAAATTTTCTCAGTGTCCGTTCCACTCCACGGATAATTTTCCTGAGTGGAAATTAGCCTTTAGACGCTTTTCGGCCTCTTACAACTTTTCATATTTGAAGTTTTTGACTAATTCTGTTATATTATCATAATTTTGAGTGCTAAACTTCCCTTGAGACTGTAAAATTTAATATCGCTCCGATGCTAATCCGGTACTGGTGTAACTGGGCCTGCGGATCGAACCGGATCGAAGGTTTTTCCGATCCAGTCCGATCCAACAAGCGATTTCCAGTAAAAGGACAAGTGGAATGATCGGATCGGGAGAAGGAAAAAATGGAGCTCGTTCCAGTCTCACATCCTCCATTTTGTAAATTTTATATAGGTATTTTTAAATAATTAAAATTATTTTAATTTATGTGAGATAACATGGCATTTTGATTGGTTGCCAGGTTTAATCCGCGGGACAGGACCAAAAAGGGTTGAAAATATTTCAACTTTTTATTATCCGGCCAGCAACGTCGCCGGATCAATCGGAACCAAAACTTTTTACTGATGGCGCATGCGCGGATTTTGTTTTGTTCCTTTCCGGTCCGATACGCTGCTTATTTTCCAGAGTGGAAATTATCCTATTCCTTAACACCACTACCTAAGTGGCCCATTTAGCGGAAAGAGCCATACACGAATATATACGAAGTCAGTGCATCAGTAGGATCGACGACTTTGTAGTCCAGACTAATATCCTCAGACTAATATTCTATCAAACGTTTTACTTATAAGTTATAATGGTGACTCCATTTAAATGGAAGCGAAATGATGTTGCAAGGACAAGCTAGGTTATGATCGACGGTCAGTATTCATTTCAAACTGATTTTCTTAATAATAAAGGAACACTGCTTCAATGATTGGAGCAATGGAGGTTCAGATTCAATTCGTGACGTCCTGATCTAGTCAGAAGGGTTGAACCTTTGAGGAAAAGCTATTCCAATAATTGACCCAGACATCTTTAGGAATAATATTAGACTGGGCTTTCGCAAGTATTCCGCCCGCTTGTTATCGCACTCAAATTACATAATATTACACAACGGCCAATTTAATAAGGTGCAGTTGGAGGAAGTAAAGAAGTAAAGCTGGGCTCAGAATAACCTGCTGGTGGTTTCGCTGCCCGCGCCTTAACCGCCAATTTTTACGCCTGTATTCTAAAAGCTCACTCACGTTCACACTCAAAGAGTGAATGTTAAATCTGAGCTTCCCTTGAGTGTCAGTGCTGTTTTTGAATAGCTGGGTGGTTAGTGTCGTACCTTACTATGCGACTACTCGCCCTCCAGCTATTCAAAAACAGCATTGACACTCAAGGAAGCTCAGATTGAACCTCCACTCTTTGAGTGTGAGTGAGCTTTTAGCATGCAGGCGTTAGACTTACTAAAAATCGCCATCTACGCAGGCTTGGCTCGAAACCAGACTCGTCCCCGTTCGTCAGTCTCTTATAAAACTAAAGAGACAAATATGGGGACGAGTCAAGTTTCGGAACGTTTTTTCTCGTCTGACTTTTTGGCATCAATGGCAAAATTATTGATTTATATCCGGATTACGCCCTGTTAATACGCGGAAACTCGATATGCTTTTTAATTTTTCCTTCTTAAAAATAACTAAGCTAGTCCGTTTTAACTTTCTTCCTCTTTACGCGCATTATAAACATTGCTCAAATACATATCTCAGTCATTTTGAAAACGTTTACAAGAGTCAACATTTTAATCCTTAGTAATAATATCAATGGATTAGTTAGATAGATACTATTACATATAGAAACTATTAGAAAGATTGTTTAATAGAAAACGTTCTTACAGCTGTATAACTTAATTTTAAAAAGGATACTAATATTATACAGCAGGATACTAATATTACTAGAAGTTACTATGGGAAGGAAAGTGCTGCCATTATTATACAGTTACAAAATTGTATAAAATTATGTACAAAACTGTATTATTCTTACAGTAACTTAGAGTTCACATATGTCAGAAATGTCACTTATAAATCCACTACTGTACCCGTTATTACGACGAGCGTTAGATATTAAAAAGAAATTCTTAAATTGATCAGTCCTACATAACGGGATACTGGGATAGTGAATTACTTTATGTCTTATATCTTAGACAAGGCTGCGGATTTACGTTGTGTCAGGTCATATAATCGGTATGCAGGATTTGGTTCTACTTTATTAAAGAAATCATCACAGTCAGAAATCTACACTCAGAAATGTCATACCCGTAGATGATCTTCATTGCGCGCATTTGGATTTGTTCTAAGAACATGTTCAAATAGGGAGAATGGGAGATTATATAGGAAACTTAACACGAGCATAAAGAAGGACTGAGCGAACACAAGCAATGTGAGTGGACTTAATCAGATCTTCGAGAGGTACCTGGGTGCTCTTTGGTTGTGAGATAAAATAGTCTTCCAGAATGATTATAATAATAATATGTGCATTCCATCTTAAATTTTTTCCAACTCCAAGAAGGGAATCAACTGTTTCCGTCTATGGTTTCAATAGCTGAATTCATATTAGAAGACGGAAATCCGTCTTAAATTTATATCAGACGAATAAATCAAGACGGGTTTCTGCTCGCAACGTTCAGAAGAGACTGGGATGGAGGGTCTCCTATTTTTTCGGGTTTATCCGTCCGATGGTTTTCGTTTCATACTTATACCAGACGGAAATCCGTCACACGAGTTTCCCGACGTCTTAGACGGAAATCCGTCTTCTAATATGAATTCAGCTAATGATGCCTGTTGTCGATCTGCAGATCGTCGCAATGGTGGTTGATCTTGAGAACGAGTTCCTGATCTCCTTCAATCTCGCACCCGAAGTGTGCCCGTTCGCAGGTTAGGTGCTGGGCATGACCAGCACCTAACCTGCGAACGGGCATACTCTGGGTACGAGATTGGATCTCCTTGTAATTATTGGGGGTCCCGGAGCTTCGGTAAACCCTTCGGGATAATTTCGTATGCCGCGTCAACATGATCATAAAGATGGATTTCCACTTGCAAGAAAAAATTGTTGTCGAAATTTAATTTTAAATTTTCACTCACAATTTTAAAAAATCACTAAGAACGAAATATTTCTCAATAGCTGGAAATCCAGCTTGAGTACGTGACATCTTCCGAGCTCGAGTAAAGGCGAGCCCTAGCCGGGCAGCTCGGGTGGAAGTTGATTTGCAGGTTCAAGTAGATTTCCCAACTGCAGAACTCACTCAAAATAACAGTTTATTTACAGTCGCAAGAGAATTACTGCTTAGTTTTGACAACTATTTTACGCTGCTATTTATTTTGGAAACAACCTTGTTCCTAGTGTTTCTGCACTTCTCAAGCACAGAAGCCCCAGGTTTAAAAAGCCATAGGTACGTCAAGGTGAGTTATTCTAAGGTGACTAGGTTCCAGACTTCTGATGTGAAAAGCGCTGAAATATAAATAGAAAGCCCTAGCTAGATTTAGGTTGTGTAATACTGTAGTTTTAACAATTGTTGAGTAATAAACTTGGTCAACTAAATTAGACCTATAGTCGACATACTTATTTACGCCGTTTTCGATTGTGTCCAATTAATCACACATTTTGATCTCTCTATGCCTAGTTCTAATAATACTAGCACATAAAATAGGAGGAAAAGGATCGCGGGAAACCAAGAACTGATCGATATTTGTCAGTGTAAATCAATACGCTGCTGTTGCTGTGAGAAGACCACCTCCAATTGGACGGACTCAATTCATTGTTCTCAGGAACAAAGAAGCAACTGTACACGTCACTGTTCCTTCAAGCTGCGTGTTATCATGAGTTATATACTGTATAATTATTATGTTGAATGAGTTTGACCAATATAGCAAAATGCCTAAATATACGCGTTACCCAATAGACCTTTCCGGTAATTACGTCACAACTACATTGTTTTCAACTTAGGACCACCTTAAATCACGCTTAATTAAATGGAATGGAGTTCAAGTTTTTTTCTCACTGGCTATGCGCAAAGAAGAAGACCTTTAATATATGCATGATAAAAAATTTATTATAGTTTGGCCAATAAATGTGGGAATAAGCTTTAACACGAAAACGAGGCTGAGGGGCCCAAAGAGGCCATGGCCCCTCAGCCTCGTTTTCGTGTTAACGCTTAGTCTCACATTTATTGGTCAAAATAAAAAAATCTTTTTCATGAATGTGTTGAAGAAGGATGCTCCGCTTCTTTGTGCATAGCCAGTGAGAAAAAACTTGAAATCCATTCCATTTAAGGTGGTCCTAAGTTGAAAACAATGTAGCTGTGACGTAATTACCGGAAAGGTCTATTATATATGTCCAGATTTCAGTATCGACTATTGTTCCTGTCTAAATACTACAGTAGTCAGAAAGTAATAATAAATAATAAATAATTAATTTAATTCATCGAAATTTTTTGTTATAATTATATTTAAAACAATACTGAACTTAAATCCCAATACTGATTGACATATATCTTGTGCATGCATGATGATAGCGATTGCAGTATTTTTAGTTCGCTATTCGCTCCTTGAATAGAACTCATGATAGTATCTCACTACCAGCCGACTGCGTGCAAATTGTTTTGTCCTATTTGTCAACTGCCAAAAACCTCAGACTTTCAGAGTTTGATCAGACTTTCATGCATTGCCATGAGTACTCAGTTTCCTGATCTTGTATAATAAGTGTAATTACCTAGTAACCAGCAATTAGCCTCTCGTGTAGCTCGTATTTGCACGCGGCACAAATTAAGGTCAAGGATGGACCATCCTTAAAGACAACTTGGCCCTGGACCTGGTCTTGACGGATGATCCGTCGATCTGCTTTAAACGTTAATTATGTCAGTGACAGCTAGTGGTTGATATATCCTGATTGAAATATCAGAATTATCTTTTTTGCCCAGGTTTGTGCAGGAATTCCCAATACTCAATAACTGATTATACTAACGAGTAGATATTTAAGGTGGCTCAATGCAGTTTTTTAAAAACCGGAAAATTCACGATTCAGATCCGTATTTGGACAATTATTATTGTTGAAAAACAAGAAGTAGCCGCTTACTGATATAAAACAACATCTAAAGAATTAGAATTTTCGCACAAAAGTTATGGCAACAATGACGTTTCAAGATGGCGGATATTTTGGTTTTAAAGTAATTTAACTCGTAAACGACATCGGTGACCCCCAAATTTTATTTTTAAAAATTCAAACTCTTTATATGTTGTTTCACATAAGCAAGATTCGTTTTGTTTTTCAACAAGAATACTTGTCCAAAAATACGCATCTATTAAAATCGCAGATTTTCCATTTAAAAAACTGTATCGAGCCACCTTAATGCTGTTTTGTAGCGAAGTAGCGAATAGTTCACCACATATTCGAAACTGTATAGCGAAAGACACATTTTTGACATGTACTAGTATAGCAATTGTAGTTGAAACTGACTAGATTTTCAAGTAGCAGTACCTCAGTTGTAGCGAACTACCCGTGTTAGTGATCATTCTCAAATATTGTGCTGATTCAGCACAGTATTTGAGAATATCAACACGACTGCTGATATATAATTATAACACAGGCCATACTATATAAAAGAGATCGAAACTTAAAATGAAAAGCTTTTATGGTTTAAATTATCATTAACATGTATTGCTGGAGAAATTTATAGCCAATGTTTAATTTGACAACTGCAGTGTTAGATTCAATTTGAATGCGGCCGGGGTTACTACATGTAGTGTAGTTATTGTGAAACTATTTTGTGCTTTCTTTTGTAAACTGCGTGAAACTGACCCACAGTGGTTTCAGTGAATATTTTCAACGAAAACATGGCCAACTATGGTTCCATACGGTCTGTGATCGTCAGGAGGTATCTGACACGATAAACACGCAAAAATTCCTTCAATTCCTGCATTGTGGAGCTGGTTTGACCCAGAGAGGGTTTTAACCGAGATAACAATGTTTTTAGTTTCATGTCCGGAGTTTTAACTGCATGACCTGCAACGCGTGCATTGTGATATAGATTGTGATGATGATTATTTCTTCCTCGACCTCTTGTGTCCGAGAAAACGAATTAGTATACATGCATGTACACAGGTCAACCACTCATGCGCATTGCCTGCATGCATGTCCAGGAAATTCTACCACGATCCTATACCCATATATTGTATAGCATTTAGCTCTGGCATATATTCATTCCTACGACTTGCCAAAAGTAGTCAAAGTCTAAGACAAAGTATACAAGTGCCCAATTTTTTTCGAGTAACCAATTCGGTCCACCTAATTGTCCCTGTCCTGCTAACAATATTCCGTGAGAATAATAAAAAGTCGACAATTTGTTGATTTGGTTTTGTTCAAATATTTTATTATTATATACAGTATACAATACAAATCTACTAAATCCCAATAAATTAATGAATAGTGTTTATTTTGTACATTATTGACAGATTATAAAAACACTGTCAGTTTACTCGTAGAATGTATGATGAGTTTCACATTATGTTAATTAAATCCTTAGTTAGTTAGTTGAACCAATGCAGCGTTGATCGAATTCATACCGGTAGGTACTCTTTGGCATTTTACCATATCTAAATTGTCATATATACCTCTGTATATAGGTGGGTTTCAGTAAACATTGCCGGGTAGCTCGACAGCAATAGTGGTCAAGAACAACAGCAAAACTATTAAACAACATTTCTATAATATAATGAAAAGTTTAAATTTCTCGGTTACTAAATTAAACAAATGAAATTAAAGAAATTAGCATCATGGATTTTCCCGTTGCTCTTAGAGAACCGCGCCGGTTTATGACCTATGTCTATGAAACTGATACTGGCGTTGGATAAAGTGTGTAGGCAATACATTAATTTTGCACCTTTGGCTTTGATAAAATGTATATATAGGAACAAAAAAGTCGATTTTGCCAATTTATCTGAAGAATTGGCCATATAGATCGATTATGGTGTTATTCGACTTTTCTCTAGTATCACTGGCTATTTGCTCTGTTTATTAATACACATTTGCTATTCAATCAGATATTTTACTAACATCAGGCATGCAGGGATATGATATGTGATCATGCAATTAAAATTTCAAGGTTACTTATAGCCGTCGAAATAAGATTATTCAAATTAATCTAAACGTTGAGGTAAACTATAGAAAGACCTGCATCTTCTGTAGTTCATGATCTTATCTCAAACTCATTAATAATTCATGAGTAAATTAGCCAACCATATTGCTTTATTTTGCTCACATGATAATACTGGATACCTGATGAAGTACAATGATCCGGCCTAGGACTGGATCAAAATTAATTCAGTCCTTGGACTGGATCAAAATTAATTAAACAAATCCTCCAATTCAGACTGGACTAGATTTCAAGTCCTTGATCTAGTCCTAGGCTTCGCCGGCCTCGGACTTGATCAAATTGCGACTTGAAATCTAGTCCAGTCCTCATAGTCGGATTTGAAATATTACGTATGGTACATGCAGTTACAGTACTCAAACTGTAACTTGGCGTGCATGGTACAAGTGACACATGCAATATTAGTAGCACTTGGTTAAAACTGGTTAAAATTGTTTTGGACTCCTTTTTTACTTTAATTTCAATTTTAGCAAAAGAAATTCTGATTAGCGAGTGTTTACTGTCAACCAGGTTCAATAAACGTATGGTCAGTTCAATAACCCTTTACATTATTTTATATCTGCTTATCTTTTGACTATGAAAACGTACAACGGATATTTCCCGTCTGATGGCTATGCGCGGGAATGTACGAGTTCTCATACCATTATTATTTCCCAATTAAATGATCAAGCAACTTTACTCTGTCCAATGATACTCTCGATTGAAAATTTCAACGGTTGTGATGTTGGAGTGGGTTGTCTTACTGAAGGACATGCTTCACAATATGTACATGAACATGAAGCAGAAGTCGTTCGCTTCAGTGGCATGACACTTCTGTATGGAATACTGTTTGTATAGTTAGTTAAGAAAGAACGGTAGGAATAAGTCAATGCAGGTAAATGATAACCATGTGGAGACATCATCATAGCATGAGCTGGGTAGCTGGGTATACTCGATGGAACACGACTGTACGGTGAATAATTGAATGTGATGGCTTTTGGTCGTTTGAATCTCTTTCTCCTTCGCAGAAAACTGCCATTATCAAACATTCCTTCACTTGCTGGATCAAGCGTCCAATAATTTCCCTTGCCTGGTTGCCCAGGTTCTCGGGGAATTTTCACGAAGCAATCATTTAGGGAGAGGTTATGTCTGATTGAATTTTGCCATTGTGGATACTTCTCTTTGTAATAAGGAAACCTGTTCATAATGTATTCACATATCTCGCTTAGAGTGAGTTTCTTTTGTGAGGACTGAGCAATGGCCATGGTTATAAGAGCAATGTAGGAATATGGAGGTTTCACTAATTTCCGTTGTGCACGAGTGTCTAATATGGTCTCACTGTCTGTTATTTCTTCATTTTGTTCATCTTCGTCATCAAGTTCATTTGTATGATACACTGGAAGTCTTGAAATATCATGCAGCTGTTCCTCTTCTTCGTAGTCTAAGATATGAACTGATGGAACAGATTGGATCAAACTTCTTGAGGAGTCTTTTTCTACACTTTTTGCTTCGTTGGAACATTTTGCAGACTCAAAACTTCCTTCAACTTGATAATTGTCCATCATTTTGTACGTTTTGTACATTTTGTGGATCTTATTTTCCCTCCAAAATTGTCTTTCCTAATGAATTTCACAAACTATAAAATAAAATTGTAGGGATGGACTGTCAGTTCGGAGAAGTTGTCTATTCGACAGTATGCAAACAATGAACTGAATGTTGAAGTAACAAGGAAAATATATAACTCACCTCCTGTGGCGATCAACGTTTCAATCCAACAAACCTCATCGCTTCCCACCCAGGCACTGCTTTATGTTCCTACGTTGAACAGACAGTTTATAAACAACACTAAATCATTTATTTTAGATTACAAATGATCGGATTAGCTATCTCTTGTTATTCTTACGGCTTGTGCACCAAATGTGTCTTGATTTCCTGGCTATTGTCCCATAGGAAGCTATCCTACGCTCATAGGAGTTATTGCTGGGCTTGTGGTTATATTGCTTACATATTCCAGGCGATCTAACAATTCTTAACACCCATTGACTGACATGATGGAACTTACATTAAACTTGAGAAATATGCATGGGTAATTGGAACATAACTGCAGGGAATCTTGATGTAATATTTTATACACTTGATTAATACAACAGAAATAGATAGCTGCTGCTTTTTAATATTATAAGTACTAAAACACATGACTAACCTTTCTGTAGCATTTTTGTATTTCACTTCTCGAAGTTGTTAGTGTCATTACGAGGAAGATGCTGCAATTATTTGCCAAATATTTTATATCACTGAGAATTTTTATTAGTCTAAATGTTTTGGCTGTTTTCTTTGTGCGCATTTGACGCATAAACACATCATGTGCTTCCTTTGAGATTCAACCACCCGCAATGGTCTTAACTGTGAAGGTAAATAAGAGAAAATATGACCCAGCAGGTTAACCATAATATTTGTGTGATCCATGTATGTTTGGAAAACTAGCCAAATGAATGGGGGTATTGCTTTCATTTCAGCTTTGATTGTTTTCGGAAGGCGAAATACCCTGTTTTTTCAGAGCCTTGTTCGTCCGAGCTTAAGATTTTAAGTTGTTATTCTTTCGGGTCAAAATAACGAGAAGGAAAGTAGATTTTCTTTCGTAATGACAACTTTTGGTCGTTTGCCTTTAGTCGGAGAGTTCCGCGTTACGGAAGAGTTATTACCCGAGAATACAAGCATGTTGTAACTGTTGCCAAGAACATATACCTTACTCAGCGTGAGACTTTATCAATTTGTACAGTGGGCAGGTATTGTTATTATTGATATTAAAAGGAACAAATTTAAAATATCACGCATTCTTTAATCGATTATCAGCGCGTTATATGAACCGGCAATCTTAATATGTAACAATTTAGCCTTTCCTGGAATTACATTAACTGGTTAAGCGAATATTTTCTACGCTTCGTTTTTAATGAGCAGACATTCTAACAACGTCAGATAGCGTCCTTCGTATTCAGATCCTGTGGTGATCTAATATTTAAAATAATGATGTGCTAATTTTGAGAGAGATTTATTCACACTACACTCCCGGTGATGAAACGTAAACTATCTAAACGTAGCAGGACATCGGAAATGAGGGCCACAGGAGGACGTATATCTAACTCAATCTCCTTGGTCCCGCTAAGTGATTCAAGAAAGAATAGCAACTCCGCCCAGTCATTAACAAAAACTCGTTACTGACACTCTTACGGTTTGATTAAGATGTTGTTCTTAAGAATGGCATTTAATAACAACCGCGCTATTGGCCGTTCTTCAAGCAGACCGCGAAAAGAATTGAGAAAATATTAAAGTATGTTAATGTATTTGATCCACTATGTTTGCTCTTAACTTCATGAACAACTTTTATAACTCATAAGAAAAACCGTTAGCATGGCGAATATCAATTCCCTTCATGTTTACAAATCAGATCCGCTAATTTTTGGCAGAAAAACTTTGGCCGCCAATAAATTGCGACTGCGAGTAAGGACTTTTTCCGCCAGCTAAAAAAACCAACTAGAAACTGTTTACTCTGGAAATTTTAGCTGCTAATTGCCTCTTGTAGCATAGCTACTGAAGTAAAATGCGTCACATATGAAGCCAGAGGCAAGCCATTAAGACTAACATTTTATAATAAAATGTACAAGAAACGCACCGCAAACTGTCTCATGTTTCTGTGACTGTGCGCCAATGTCAGGTCCAGTAAATAAACATGTCCAAGTGTATTAAAACATATCTAAGTTGTGAAATTGAACATATAATTGAGCCTCAAAATCGCACATCCTGATTGCCATAAAAAATTCAAATCAGTATATTCTTTAGAATTAAAAATCGTTACTAATCCAGAAAAACATGCAATGAAGTCACAAGCCCAAACGCCCACAAAACCAAAGGATCCGCGCCAAAGTCAACATAAAGGACATTAAGAATTCTAGACATGCATTCAATATTCCGACTATTAAGCTACTAAACTATAAATTTATCTGAAGTGCTACAAAAATTTTTAACAATGCATATTAATGCTTTCAATGGATCGAGACAGAGGGATCGAGATAGTTTAAAAAGATTACAAGCCAGGCTATGCCGTGGTCACTGTTGAATGTTTTCACAGTGGGTGGCTGTGATTTAAGATATCTTTTATATAAACCTTGATATGGATTGTGGATTACGGTCGAATGCCCACAGACAATAGCATGAAAACGAGGTTTAGAGCTGAATTGTAATATTTATATAGCAAATTAGAGATAAAGGCGCTGTTCCACGCAACTTGCAATGATCAATATTAAAAATAGTATAAAAACTGCGAGTGCTAATGTTTGGCGTCATATTGTCAATCAAAAGCCAATAGGAAGCCAATTCAGTGTATAAGCATTGCGAGACTAGTTGCAAGAGGGATGTTACACTGTGCAATGCCGCTTTAAAAATGCGTTGCAGCGTTGCCACAATCATTGCAAAAAGTAGATCCTGATTCTACTTCGTGCAATGGTTGTGGCAACAAAAATTTTGCGAGACTTGTTGATTGCGAAGCATGATACACCTTGCAATTTCGCGTGCAACTTGTGTCGCAACAAAATCGCGAGGCAAGTTGCGAGACAAATTGCATAGTGCAGCAGCACCTTAAGCCTCGATCGGTTCTTGACAACTAGGCCGTAATTTGGAAATGGTCTATATTGATGCAAATGTTAGTTCTACCTCGTAACTAGTTTTGCATAGTGGTGGAAAGAATGAATAATACCTCGTGATACTTATAAATCTTTTGAAAAATCATTTCTAACAATAGTGATAAATTGAAGATTATCATTTAACTAACCCTTGGTATAAACTTCATAGTTTTATCAAGGTTTGTACCTTGCTGATTAAGACATGTACACGCATTACAATCGGCGGAACTTTGAAGTTCCGAAATCAAAATGATCTGACTAATTGATGTCTTAATTTGTTGTTACTTTCATATCCTAATTTCTTCATTGCCTTAATATACCGCTGCTGTTGAGACTGCATGGATGCTGAGAATTGCTTGAATTGCCACTCAAATTTCACTAAACTTCCTCTCAAGACAAAGTAATGATAAATTTGTTGCTTAAATCATAATAATGTTCTTAAATTTCTTGCTAGAATGGATTATGGATATCAGAGAGGGCTGGAATCACAAGATTTATTCCCTGGTATAAAGATTGATTCGTACCTTGGATAAAGTTCAATCCCATTTTGGAGGCTCACAATAGGGTTTTTTAATCTCAAATGTCTTCTAATTTTTTTCGTCCCACTGCCATTCATCCCTTTACGAAAATAGCCGGATTATCCCACGTCCCGCAAACCCTAGTGTTCGGGACCTCGTTTTACATGGACCCTACTTGGCTACTTTTGAGTTCTGGGCGAGTTTTCGAGTCAATTGCAATACTTTGATGAGAATAAATGAACATTAATTATCTATATATTATTTCTATAAATACTGAAAAAGAACAAATTGAATGGAAAGCTTTGCTAGTGGGTAAAGAATGGATAAGTTATAAAATCATTTCCACTGTATCAATCGATTCTTATTTAGAACTGTCATTGTTAACTTGTTGTGAAGAATATAGCTACAAAACTGACCATAGCTTATAGCTATAAAACTGCAATGATTTCAGCTATGATTTTCAAGAAACGTTTCAAATTGCTTGCAAAATCATTTGTTAGCATTTAAAATAGATTATTGCCAGTTAAGGAGACTGCTCCTCTGATCGAACTGTTTATTTTCTACGAATTGAGTTATCAATATACAGTATATAGAAGTGTCAGTTTAATATGATGGTCCTTTTCCTCTTTCCTCGATTTGAGTGTCCCTGCAGGCTGCTTCAGTATACGTGGCAATATAACCTTGGACAAATTGTGATCTATTTATGTTAGGATGCTGAGAGCAGTGAATTGCTTTTCATTTGTATTGTCAGTTGTTGGCCAGAATCCTGCTAAGTTTGCAATCAAGTCATGACACGATATCTTGCTATGATATGAAGAAAACTGCGGGTTTATTTATTAAAGTTATTCCTATTGTTATGTTTCCTTATTTGAACGCATAAACAATGTTTTTATCAATTATATTGTAAAATCAAGCTGAAAAAATGTTAAAATTTATTAAGTATATGAGTTCAAGTTCAACATAAATGTTTAGAAAAAAATTAAGAAAATATAATTTCTCCTTCTTTTATTAAATTTGACAAACACTATCATCTATATCTATAGATATCAAAACACTGCTTGGGGATTATGATAGTCACTGATATATTTAATTTTATTCATGCAATTTCATTTCTAACGTATATAACGTGATCGAGTCATCAGAGGTGATCACAGTCGACTAAGCAGGACCTTAAAGATTTAGTCTTCTTCGCTCAATCTGCTTTAATTAGTAGTGTCGCAAATGTCAAGTTATTGGAAAAGGGAAACAGTGATATTACTTCTCAGCTAGCACTATATATACAATAATATTATACTTCTGAACAATCACTGGTTTGCCTAGTTCAAAATGTTTAAATAAATTGGTTAAAACAACCAATAAATTGGTTATCTCAGTTTCATTTTGAATCTGAGATTGTTTTAACCGATCTGTTTTTATAATGTTGGTTTTCTACCTGCAAGTCTTCAATAAACTATTTCCAAATTTGACGCCGTGGTTGTCGAAGCTCAGTGCTAATTTGCTATACTGTAGAAATATTACAATAATTTTAATTAGCGTGCGCACGAAGCCTCGTTCTCAGCCTATTGTCCTTGGGCATTCGACCAGTAATTCGGAAATGGCCTATTAGGTACCTTAATTAAGGCGGATTTCCATTCAGTGGAAAAAGTCGCGCGATCGACTTTTTGCGATCACTTTCTTTTGAAATACAAGCAATCAAGCGCAACTTTCAAAAGAAAGTGTCGCAAAAAGTCGATCGCGCGACTTTTTCCACTGAATGGAAATCCGCCTTTAGGCGTGTTTTATACGTCGAATTTCGGTCGCGTCGAATGCAATTCAAACAATAGATAATGAAAGTTAATGAGGTTTATCATCTCATTATCTATGGTCTTAATTGCATTCGACGCGACCAAAATTCGACGTATAAAACAGGCCTTATTCGGGAATTCGAAATTGATGGCAAAATGGGATAGGCCATGAAATGGATCACAATTTATATAAGTTCCTGATGAACCCATGAATTATGATATATATGATTGCAGGAATATCATTACAGGGCATTTAGTCAACATAAAGTGAATAAAGCTCTTCAATATATCAATATAAAAGTCACAAGACTTTGTTTATGATAATTGCATGGTTTGATACTATAAATTGATACATTTCTGTTTCCTCTGCTGTATAAATATTGTTTTATATTTCCAGTAAATTAATAATTTTCGATCATATATTTTTGATAAGCATTTAACAATCGGAATCTTTTTCGAAAACCTCTGTTCGAAAACAGAAGTGCACACACATGCAGTGTTAATGGAGCAGAATGTTGCTAGTAAGTCATAATGTCTGATAAGTTTCAAACACTGACTATCAACATGGTTTTAACGTGTACGTAGGTGGCATTGAAGCTTGTTCTCGGCAACGACAACAAAATTAATTAGTCAGTCATCTCATTGCGATTGACCATTCAGGAGATGGAGAAAATGACTTGAAGTGCGCTTATTGATACGACATGACGTCATGAGTGTAACACATAAAATTAGCAACAAATTCCTGTCTTCCATTGAGATGTTCGCTAATCCTCCCCTCCCTTAATCTCTTGAATGTCAGCTTTCTTGCATGTGAAGTGGAATAAGATTAATAAGTATCGATAAACCAAAGGATATTAATCAAACAATGTATACATGCATGTAGTAGCCATCATTACTAAACTTGTCCAATATATAATGACGCCGGTGTTATTCTCATATTTAACCTTGCCATATTTGGCTTAGCAATTGTACTTGGTTATTCTAACTCCCTAGCTATATATGGAACCACTGATCGCGACCTACTACAGCTTATGTACACATTTACCACAATGTCAGTATACATAACAACAATGCAATGGTAATGGCAATATAAATAGTTGTAAAAGATAATAACAAATAAAGTGCTGTGAAGCTATGCCAAAGTTTTGCTGTGTCTATGTAAATAAGACAACCCCATGAAACGGAGGAGTCGATGACAAATCCAGGAAGTACAGCAAAGTGGGATTGTTAATTCCATGCAATAACAACAAAGTACCAAACCCTAGAAATTCATATTAAACTTAAAATTTATGACCCCAAGGGCAACGTCAAAACTACTTCATCTTGAGTAAGTACAAGTAGTTGGAAAGGATGAAGAAAAATTAGAAAATCTATTTCTTCTTTTGGTATACAGCAACCTCTTTCTCAGGGCTTTCTCGGGGCTACGAGGAAGAGAACAGTTGGATGAGATCAGTGGTGTCTAATACCCACCCGCCCACAAGAAAGTCCTGGGAACGAGGATGGGTATGCATGCAGTTCAGTGACGTCACAGAGTAAGTACATACAGAGGTCTCACTTCAGGTTAATCTGAGCGTAAGGGATTTTTCAGTCCGCCATGTTCTGAGCAAGTGCCTTAAAGAGAGGCAGTCACCCCCCCCCTGAAAACATATTGAAATTGAATGTAACAGGGGCTTGAATTCCTCTCTTGCTAAGAACATGGTCAAACGTGTCTTGGATAAGGACAAAACTCTCTTTCAGCTTATAATTAAGTCTGCTCTACTATGTTTACGAGGATCAAGAAGGCTTTTCTCTACGTAGGACAAACATTCTCCGGAACCAAGTTTTAATACTGTATATTTTATTGTCTTTCTCCTTCTTAATCTAGTCATAATTTTATTAGTTTTTATCTACTATGCTATTTTGTCTTTTTTATTGAATAAATCATTTAATAATGTAGTCGCTGTTATACAAGATCTGCAAGTTTTGAAGATCTTGATTCTTTTCATTTGATTGGAGTACTGTTAACTACTATAGTTATGGCCAATTCTTTAATTAATCCTATTTATTAAAAAAGCATATGTATGATATGTTGTAAAGAATAATATAGGTTAAATATCTAATCTAAGCCGTCCTATGTCTAAGATAAGCTATAGTGGTAGTTTATGAATTATGCATTAATTATCTTAACATCTTATGAAAATAGATGTATCTTCATTGGCGTTGCATTGCAATCAAGCTAATATTTCTAAATACGATGATTGTATTTAACTTTGTTCTTTAGTTCATTTCATTTACCACGATTAAAGTTGACAAAATCATACATTTGCTTTGAAATTCGAGGTGCTGTTTAAGTAACTGGACGTCTGGACCTTTCTTATATAATGACGTCAAACGCGGAAAACCAATTTATGCATGTGAAGAGACAGGACATCGTTGGCGAACCATGCAATAAATTTCATAAAAACATCATTTGCATTGTCGCTAAAAATTGTCCCTTGGGACATCGCTTTAGTGTTTTTCCGCATTTGACGTCATTATAAGAAAGGTCTATTTCTTAGGTGGTGTTCAACTAGTCAATATTAGTGAGTTTAAGATACCCCGGTTTCGGTGTACGGGTACGAGTAGTGTCATCTTGTTTACTAGTTTTTACTGATGTCTGTAATTTGATCATACTTTTTCTGTTTTCTTGCAATAGACAATTATATAATGCGAAAAATGTGCACCTTAATTACGAGTAAAGGTACAGACATCGACAAAAATATATATATATTGCTAACCAAAATCATGCCACCCGTACACCGAAACCGGGGTATCTTAAACTCACTATTCTTGACTTGCAACAACTTGCACAACGGCCATGTTGATGGTATTTCTGAACGAATCTCATTATCTTTCATTGAATTTGGCACCAACATGGCCGCCATTTTATCGGTTTTCCAATTCTCAAGGGATTGGTTGCTAGTTAAGAATACTCCTGATTGGAAAAATACGAAAGAAATCACCCCAGATGTTAGGTCAAGGCTTTTTCCTCCACTTAATTTGAACACAGTTTATAGAAAAAACTGCAACTCTATAATTCGCATAACAGCCACTGCTAATTAGCATTTCAATGCCTGTGCAACTTTAATATTATGCTCCTGGGACTTGAAAATACGTTCTAATTGTCCACGTTATACTGTATTGTAGTAATTTGACAGCCGCATAATTTCTCGAATTAATGAATGCGTGAAAACACAAGGTCTTCTGCACATGGGAATTTAGGAAAACTTCTATTTGTATGAACAAATACACAACTCAAAGAAAAATGTTTAAATTAAGCATTATTCAAGTCTACATAAGATATAAAATGGCCAGCTTACTGCAGAGCAACGAATATTTATAAGGTAATGGCTAATTTGAATTTGAAAGGGTGTACATCTTTTTGATACAGCGGGTACAGTACGTCCCCAAGCATGAAATTAAGTTTCTATTGAGTATTGTGTTTACGCACTCTTGGGATCAATTAGTGCTGAATCATGCAATTTCTAAAAATATCTGATTTGAAAGGGTTGCAGTTTGTTTGATACACCCTGTATAAATAGAAACCATATTAAAAGCACATAATAATGTAATTCCCTTATCGCCAGATAGGACTAAGAGCATAGAATAAATTGTATCATTGTTCAGACAGACAGACGGATCTGCATGAAACGCATCCACCATAAAGCCGCGAGCATAAAGCTTGGTACGTGGATTTTTAACCACTTTATCTTTTCGAACCATTATTGTGCATTAGGATCTAGTCCAACTCAGTCAAGCTTACAAAATATTCTATTAGACTGCATGATAACTGACAAACAATGATTTTTTTACTGGTTGGGTCGTATCCCATGATACGAATACCAATCATCTCAAAGTACAGTTTCCAACACTCATGGAACTTAGGAATTTAATCGAGCAAAAAATATATGCGTCATTTACAGTTAAATTAAGGGCAGTCTGTACTTGAAAAATAAATATTCTTCCAGTATACAGACCTCCCAGCTGGTGAATAACCAATATTTATTTAACTGACAATTACTATTAATAAATTTTGACATTACAATTAACATACAATTAACTGAAAATGAGTAGTCTCCAGTAAAACGCTATATATATGCGAAGGAAACCATTCACTAACTAAAACAGTCACTGTGACTATACGGGAAATATTTCTTAGTGAATGATAGAAAGATTCTCTGTGAGAGTTCAAGAAAAATGTATAAGTGCATGCAGATTCCAGTATAAGCCGACAGATGGCAACTAGATAATGACTGGAGCAAGAAAATGAACTAAACTCTCAATTTTATTCCTTAATTGACCATCATATTCAAAACATTCGTTTCTCACTGATCTTTCCCATGTCATTGTGCTTATAGAAGCCCACCTATATGAACAATACCTACTTCATTGACATTGTTCATTTACTTTCGCGCACGATCTGTAGATTTATCCTAAATCTTACTAAGAGTTTTATTGCTTCAACCTCTGACTCTGTTTTGTTAAGTTCTAAATTGTGATCGCTGATTCCCTCTTCCCACTAAGCAGATTTCATCAGATTATACTTTTGTTTTCTTTACTTTGTCAACAAAGTCAGAAGGTCAATTTATTTAAGAACTTCCTAATTGTCACCACGTAAGATCGTCAGACCACCCAAATGAAATATTTTAACTTGGATATCTGTAATTACGCGCTGGGTTTGTTAAACTATATTGTACACAATCTTCTATTTTATTCATTCAGACTTGAGATAGGACTTATATTTTGTGCATAGTATATCAATAAAGATTCGCCAAATTTTACATAACATTGTCATTCACATTGGGACATTGCATATTTAACATTACAAAAAGTTACATTAGCCGGGGGATTTTTGAAACCAGATGATCCCAACGCCGCCACCCCCCCAGCAACTTTTTGAACTGATGTGCGCCCCAGATACCTACACGAAACGCCATGTTTGACCTTTGCCGCTACATGTATCAAATCAGAGAGTAATTGATCTGATAGATTCTACGATTTTTGTTTTTCTGTAGAGTGTAGTGGAAGAATCTTCGGTGGGAAAAGTATTCATTCACCAGTTGAGCGGCTATTGCATATTGCCCTGAATTTTAATTTGAGTG